TCTGACTGGCCACTGGTAACAGAAGGCAACCAGGGCTCTCATTAATGGCTTCCAAGTGACCTCTCCTTGTTTGGAGATTCTGGAGGGTTCCTTGGTTAACAAAGGAGTGGAAATAAGGATGCCTGGGGCCCTTGTGACAGAAAACAAAGAATGAATATGATCAAGAACTGATATGAATTTATATTTGAGTCTATAATGTAATGGTAAGGTGGGGGGAGTCAAAATTTCTGCACCCTTATTGCATCAATGTAGTAACATCTAGAAGCCTTGCTTAAAACAGTCACTATAGGGCAGGGTGGGCAAACGGATCTCTAGAGATTGCTGTTATTTTTTTGCAAGACATCCTAGTTATCTTTCAGAAAACTGTTAATATGTAATCATTCCAACAAGACTATGGAGATCGATATTTGTGCTTGCATGACACTTGATCAGCAAAGGACTATTTTAATTTTGTACTGACTTTGTTTTATGAGGTGTTGTTGGGGGGGGGTTTCCCTATTTTTATGCCTTGGTTCTCTAAACCTCCTAGAGTTTTGTAATTTTGGCATATATAAATAATGGAAATAATAAAATAAATGAGATTTAATTTGGTTTCCTTTGCTGTTTAGCATTCATAGAAAGCTGCTCCTGCAATCATCAGGTGTTTGTGGAGCTAGGTGTTACCTTTATGTGTACAACACCTAGGTCCACCTCTCCTTTCTTTTCTTGCCAAATGTGCCAAGATCTCTGGCTGGTTCCTGTCTGGAGCAGACTATAGACTGAATAAGTTGTAACTGGTTAAAACTGAATCCAGGATAGTTGTGTCAGCCCTTCAAAATAGGCCAAGTAAGGAAATAGACACTACAGGAACTCTTGGAACTTTATTTTATTGCTTGGAACTTTATTTTATTGCTATGGAGTATATGTACTAACAAAATCTTGAAAGCCTGACATTGTTCTATAAAAGACTAGAAAAGATGGACCAGTAGGCAAGAAACAATGGCTGGGACTTCAGGAACAAAGAGTGCTTGTTTTACCTTGAGAAAGATCCTCATGTAAGGTTGCAAAAAAGTTGCAAAAAATAGGGATTTTGCATGGGCACGGTATACTTTAACAGCAGCAAGATCCAGATTCTTTATTGAAGACTGTTATAACCATGAATGAATAGAGTGCAGAAAGTCAAATACAGGCAGTCCTCATTTACTGACCACAATTGGGACCAGCAACTTGGTCACTAAGCAAAGCAGTCACTAAGTGGGAAATCACATGACCACGACTGTGCTTTCTGATTCAAACTGACAAAACTAATCAGTTTCACACCTTTGGCTTTTGTTTGCCTCCTAACCACTCCCCCATCCTTTGGAATGCTCACCCTGGTGCTGGATAATTAACAAGGGAATTAATCTATTATTGAAGGCTTTCACGGCTGGAATACGATGGCTGATGTGGGTCTTCCGGGCTGTGTGGCCATGTTCTGGAAGTTTTGGTTCCTAACATTAGGAACCAAAACTT